TCAACATACTTTACTGCCTTGTTTCAGGTGATCAAACACCATGTTAAAGGCTTCATTGAAGTGATCTTTGAGGATCTTGGTCATCAGTTGATAGAACCATGCTCGGTCCTTGTCATCCACCAGACGATCATAAAAGACGCGGAAGACCTCGTGGACAAACAGCCGAATCATCGTGCGTTTGTTCTCCAGAGATTTGCTCTTCACAAGCAGGCACCCTTGGATTACACGTGAGAAGTCACGCAAATTAAACGTGTAGTGAGACTTGGCTGGTGTCGGAAGCAAATTTTCCATGGCTTGCTTGTAGACCTTTGAAAATACATTTGAAAAACTCAAGTTATTGGAAAGATAAGTGTTTGTTGAAAAGAAGATAAGTATTGGTCGGATCTGGAGGACTCACGTCCATGGTTGCTGTCACCGTTTGGCTACCAATAGTAAAATATTCTGGTGGAAATTCATTGTTCTTGAGATAGAATGCCACCATAATGGAGAAGATGCGAACCATGGTCTCATCACTGAAAGAATTGATGCTAAAAATGTTGAAATGACGTAGGAAGCGAGATGTCACAGCATTCCTCCCGCCACCAGGAGGACCCATGGCTGTAATGACCTGGATGTCAACTAATTTGATGCCGGAAGTATCCTTCAGGTCATACCTGCCAGAAAAGGATGGATTAGTCAAGCAGTGTTTTGTATCCTCTTCCATTCACGGTCTTTATTTTGGTGTTTGGGTGGCCATGGCCCATACCACTTCTTGTGATCCATAAACTGTCGAAGAAGCTCCACGGGAGGCTGAGCTCCAAACTGTTCCAGTGCTGGCATATTCACATCATCTATGAATATGAGGTACTTCTTCCCCATCGGAGGGCCAAACACACCTTTCCGTCTCTTATCTAATTTGGCCATGATGATGTTCTGGTAAACACAAAGAGTAAAGAATGAGGCCAGTCAAAGTTGCAAGAGCATTCATACTCATCAGTGGTTCCACCTGACCTGTGTTTGGTTGGCTGTGGTGCGGGCTGAGAAATTGATTGAGAGGGGTAAAAAGAGGTCTTTGTCCAAACCGTTC